CTGACGACTAAAGTCTGGATCTCTGCTCTTCCAGACACACTGACGACTAAAGTCTGGATCTCTGCTCTTCCAGACACACTGACGACTAAAGTCTGGATCTCTGCTCTTCCAGACACACTGACGACTAAAGTCTGGATCTCTGCTCTTCCAGACACACTGACGACTAAAGTCTGGATCTCTGCTCTTCCAGACACACTGACGACTAAAGTCTGGATCTCTGCTCTTCCAGACACACTGACGACTAAAGTCTGGATCTCTGCTCTTCCAGACACACTGACGACTAAAGTCTGGATCTCTGCTCTTCCAGACACACTGACGACTAAAGTCTGGATCTCTGCTCTTCCAGACACACTGACGACTAAAGTCTGGATCTCTGCTCTTCCAGACACACTGACGACTAAAGTCTGGATCTCTGCTCTTCCAGACACACTGACGACTAAAGTCTGGATCTCTGCTCTTCCAGACACACTGACGACTAAAGTCTGGATCTCTGCTCTTCCAGACACACTGACGACTAAAGTCTGGATCTCTGCTCTTCCAGACACACTGACGACTAAAGTCTGGATCTCTGCTCTTCCAGACACACTGACGACTAAAGTCTGGATCTCTGCTCTTCCAGACACACTGACGACTAAAGTCTGGATCTCTGCTCTTCCAGACACACTGACGACTAAAGTCTGGATCTCTGCTCTTCCAGACACACTGACGACTAAAGTCTGGATCTCTGCTCTTCCAGACACACTGACGACTAAAGTCTGGATCTCTGCTCTTCCAGACACACTGACGACTAAAGTCTGGATCTCTGCTCTTCCAGACACACTGACGACTAAAGTCTGGATCTCTGCTCTTCCAGACACACTGACGACTAAAGTCTGGATCTCTGCTCTTCCAGACACACTGACGACTAAAGTCTGGATCTCTGCTCTTCCAGACACACTGACGACTAAAGTCTGGATCTCTGCTCTTCCAGACACACTGACGACTAAAGTCTGGATCTCTGCTCTTCCAGACACACTGACGACTAAAGTCTGGATCTCTGCTCTTCCAGACACACTGACGACTAAAGTCTGGATCTCTGCTCTTCCAGACACACTGACGACTAAAGTCTGGATCTCTGCTCTTCCAGACACACTGACGACTAAAGTCTGGATCTCTGCTCTTCCAGACACACTGACGACTAAAGTCTGGATCTCTGCTCTTCCAGACACACTGACGACTAAAGTCTGGATCTCTGCTCTTCCAGACACACTGACGACTAAAGTCTGGATCTCTGCTCTTCCAGACACACTGACGACTAAAGTCTGGATCTCTGCTCTTCCAGACACACTGACGACTAAAGTCTGGATCTCTGCTCTTCCAGACACACTGACGACTAAAGTCTGGATCTCTGCTCTTCCAGACACACTGACGACTAAAGTCTGGATCTCTGCTCTTCCAGACACACTGACGACTAAAGTCTGGATCTCTGCTCTTCCAGACACACTGACGACTAAAGACTGGATCTCTGCTCTACCAGACACACTGACGACTGGGAGAATATCACATATGAACGTTTCAAATACAGCATAAAACATTCGCAAAGTTACAGTATGATAAAAAATAATAATAATAATAGTTTAAAAAAAATCAGCACAGAACATTATGAAAGTTATAGTATACTATGTATAATTAAGAAAATGTTAAAAAATACTATAAAGCATACTAATTTAATATTATAAAGTATTATGACTATATATATATATATATATATATATTAGGTCTGTCAATCGATTAAATTGTATCAATCACACGTCAAATTTGGCTGAGAAATTACCAATTCAATTTTAAAGCCATTATTGTGTTACATGAGAAAAGCATGAAATAGAATTTACTTACAAGTAGCTTCAGACAATTACATTTTTATTTTCATTCTTTTTGGGGTGGGGATTAGAAATATCCCTTTAATTAGTTTTTTATTAATATGGATTTTTAATGTTTATTTTATGTTTAAAAACTGTAATTTTGTGAAATATTATTGCAATTTAAAATAACAGTTTTCTATGTGAATATCTGTTAAACTGTAATGTATTTCTGTGATGCGCAGCTGTATTTTCAGCATCATTACTCCAGTCTTCAGTGTCACATGGTCTTCAGAAATCAGTATAATATGCTGATTTATAAAATGGCTGATAAAAATTCAGTGCCGAGTCACAGAAATAAATTATATTAAAGTATATTAAAATAGGAAACCAATATTAGAAACTGCAATAAAATTTTTGTTTTTAGTAATATTTTGTATTCATTTTAATATTGTTTTGATTTAATCAATATTAATTAATATTAATCTTGTCAGGTGCAATAGTAAAAACACAAGATAATATAAGATTTCAAAATATTTGCTTATTTCATATCCAGAGATGTTAGCCAATCACAGCAGAGGGTGTTTGAATTGAAGTCTTAAAGGAGACACACCCCTTTAAACAGTGTTCAAATCAGAGAGCTAAAATCAAGGTAAAGTGGCTTTTTATTCCTACATTTTTGATGAAGAAATCCTAATAATATTATGAGTGCACCTTAGGAAACATTATACAATAATAAAAATGCAGTTCACAAACCGTTAAAGTCTTTTTTTTTTTAATACTAATGTTTTATGGTTTATGTTTGGGAAGTATAGTTGAACTACTTTATTTTCTGAGTCCCTCGTAGTTCATGAAGCTTCAGCAGCACTAGTAAATGCAAAAGTTAAACTGCACACCACACACACACACACACACACACACACACACACACAC